CCCCAAAACCCCAAAACCCCAAAACCCCAAAACCCCAAAACCCCAAAACCCCTTTAAATTAAAATTATATTGAACTCATTATGTTGCTCAGGGCGAAATTTCTAATACAGATCAAGTATGTTTGCCCCTACTTGGCTAGAAGGAGAAGACTTTGTACCTATCAATCAGCTCTTTATCGACTCATAATCTATCTCTAAAGACTGCTCTGCAGAGTTAATGCCGTTCTGATCTATAGTGATAAATTATTAAAGCCTTGCCATCATTTCCCTCCTCTTGAGAGATTTCTATCCTCAGTTTTGAGAAATCATGTATAAAGGTCTTGTTCTTCATATTTGGGTCAAACCCAAACTCTTCCTTCTCTACCGATAGGGGAGATTCAACTGTCTTGAGGGAAGAAAGGCAGGTGAGAGGTCTAGGACTAATTACATGACTTCGCTTGATTTCCCATATTCTATCTTGTGCATCTTGTATATAAACAAGTTTATTTGTTTGTAAGTCACAATCATACAAGATTTGGTTATCAACCTGGTCAAACAGCTTCATAATTTCTTCAGTATTACACTCCTTGGAAAGACGTTTTAGGTGTATTTTGCCAATAGGGCTATAGCTCTTCATCTCTAATGCTCTGTTGTGGAACCTTCCTTCTAGATTTTGGTAGTCAAAGTCACTATTATAGTCAAGGTTTAGATTATCCTCTGGATCACAGATGATGTTATCTCTAAAAGAGATTGGTTCTTCAGTTTCATTTAATTTGTTCTCTTCAAAAATGCCAATCTTCTCTATATCAAGTGAAGGCTTTTGAGGGGTGATAGAGGAAGAATAGCATTTTTGGTCCTTGGCCTGGGCAGTTCTGTATGATCTGATAATTTTATTACTATGAGAGCTATCAGAAGAAGCTTCTTGAAGCTTTCTATTTACTCTCTTCTGCTTGACTTCTCTTTTTCCTTGAGTGTCTTCTCATATAGAATTGGATCTATCATTGGCTATATTTTTGTAATTCGCTCAGTTGTCAATGTACTGGATGGAGCTTCAGCTGAAGGACTATTACTTCTCATTATTTCCTTAGAATCGCACCTTAGATTCAATTCTTCATCATAATTAATATTATTCTCACGCAATTTCTCAGTCAGGTGATGGATCTGAGCTGCATAAATTTTCACTTGTCTTTCGAGCTTGGAGTTAGTATTACAGAAATCTTCAAGTAAATGTTTGTTAGTTGCAATAGTAACCCTGAGATCTTCAATTTGACTTAGCAATTTCTCATTTTCAGAATTAAGTTCTTGATTGACAAGGTTTAAATACTTCAGCTTCTCTGAATTAGGATTTTTCCGACTAGAAGTAAGCCCATCTAAATTACAAGAGCTATTGCTTCTAGTACGAGGGATTGTCTCTAAAGTCTCCCTTGAGACAATAGTTCCTTGACTCTCTGTAGGGTATCTTTGGTTTTTGTTCGACAAAAAGTTTTTGAAAAAACTCATTTAAAAATATATTATCCTCCAATTTTTCTAAAAAGATGAGGGGTTTTGGGGTTTTGGGGTTTTGGGG